ACTTCATATCATTTCGAACAAAGGAATTCATTTTAAAATGGGCATCCTCGTATATACGCGAATACCTTATGTATAATAAATGTATTGAGTTAACATTGTTAGCGTTTCTGTGGCAGATCCAAACTTATCAGATTTTAAAAACATTATTTAGATGCTATAAGGCTTACGATAAGACAATTAAATTATGAGACTAGAAACTTTTTAGTTTTAAAGTTTGGTGAAAACCTGAAAACCACTAGTGAATTTACTTTAATTGTGAAGTTACTTACTTACTTACTCAGTTGACCATTACAGACGTGAGGCGTCCTTGGTCGCGTCGACTATCCTCTACCAGCCACCCCAATTAGTTACTTGTTGTCGTCAGTTGGTAATACCGTGCGCCTCCAAATCGTTGATCACCTGGTTCTTTCACTGAAGCTGCGGACGTCCTCCATCGCGTTTTCACCTGCGACTACCGAATGAATCAAACACCTTTCTAGCTGGAGCACCTTCTACTATTCGCACGACATGGTCAAGCTAGCGTAACCGCTGAATTTTTATGCGCTTAACTATGTCAATGTCGCGATATAGCTCACACAGCTTATCGTTCCATTTAATTTAATACTCGTCGCTAACGCGTAAGGAACCATAGATCTTTCGAAGAATTTTTCTCTCGAATACTTTTAATGCCTTCTCATCACTGTTGGTAATTATTCAAATTTCTGCACCATACAACAGGACAGGCTTGATAAAAGACTAATAGAGCATGATTTTTGTTTGTCAGAAAAGGAACTTATTTCTCCATTACATACTTAGCTCGAAGTTACATCTGTTGACAAGAGTGATTCTTCGTTGAATCTCTAGACCTACGTCATTTTTGGTGTATATGCTGGTTCCCAAATAAACAAAGTCTTTCACAACTTCAAATTTATAATTGTCAACAGTGACGTGAGTCCCACGACGCTCAGAAAATAGGCATTGACGACGCGGTTGTTCAGGTCATTGATATCAATATTGTCGGCATACGCAAGCAGCATCACACTTTTATAGAATATTGTGTCAGTGCGGTTTTAAACTGCAGCTCGAATTATCGTTTCCAACATTAGGGTAAAGTAGTCACACGACAAAGAGTCACCCTGTCTAAAATCTCGTTTGATATAAATGTGAGGTTATTAATAGTTTATTACTCAATTGGTAATATCATAAGAAAATTCGGTAATATTTGAAAATAACACATTTTGTCCTGCTCTCGCTTAACGTATATCTAAATATCTAGAATTGAATTTGTTCTTATAAGTAAACATATATATAGTCTCGTCTCAATTGAGGTTAGAAATTTCTTCGCCATATATTAGTGTGCAATATCCCCAATTTTTATTTCAATTCCATTTTTATAACGAATCGATGTTTATACTTAATGTTAATAAGTGATGATGCCGTTTGATATCAACATATTAGCATATGTTATCAATAATAAATGGCATATTTATAACTATTCATAAACTATTCATAAATTGATCAAAAAGCCTGAAAAACAAATTTCATTACCAATAGCACATGAAGTCATTTAGTCAAAATAAACATTTTCTATCGAGTTCAATATTACTACAAAATACAATATAAAACTTGAAATAGCACCCCGAGCTTGCGTGATAATCCCACCCCCTTCACCATCACCCAATTTCACTGCTTCACGCCCATGCTTTCTAGCTTATATGAACCTAGTTCGTTAGGTATTGAGCCTCTTGCTTTAAACTCTCTGCCCAGATTACTGCAATTTCATATTCATTCTTAAGAGGTGGTTTTAGTGGGTTCAAGTCTCACACTGTGGGTGTCTATGCTTTACACCTACTGCAAAAACAAAAAAAAAGACGAAATTATATTTTCAAAAGTAATTTGAATATTTAATTTAATAATCATAACCGTTTATTTGAATTGATTAAAACACACTTGATTTCGCAGATGAGCAAATCCAGATTCATGCATTGTTTCATAGAATACTCTTTCAGTGATATTTTTCCACAACAATAATTAATTTGCATATAGCAAATGTTTTTTTTCTATTGTCATATTTAATGAACATTCTGAATGTATTAATATTCTAGAAAATAAAACTTTATAAATACCAATAAAAGCTTTTAAAGTCTGATATAAATTCGTATTTATCTCTATACAATATAGACAACTAGTCAATCAACTTACATATATTCTATGTTTCGATTTAAATTATTAATAAAATTGATAAGACAATTATGGAAGTGACGTCATGGACTGACAATGGAAAACATAAAAGAATCATTCACTTCATTAACTAAATCAGACCTTAAAAATATACTCATAAAAATGTTGTATTCGCCTTCCATTTTTTTATGTAGTTACGTGTCAATCATATATGTAAATCTAAATATATACCACATTTATTTCTTTATAGAAGAATTCCTTCATGAAATTCTAACGAAAGCAATAGTCAATGTTCTGAATACTTAATCTTTCAAATTAAAATCTGTACCGCTGCAGTCTCACCTCCTTTCTATATAAAGCCATCAAACATTTTATTACCATTAAAGTCCCACTTCAAGTTTTGCTAGATATTAGAGAACTCATATCTCTTTTTTGGCATATCTATAACATCGTTATCATATAGTGATATTTTTCTATTATTATTATTCATATAAAATGTGTTTTAGTTTTATAAATACCTAAAAATATATATCTTCTTCTTGTAAGCGCCTTGTTCGCTTCGAACATTGGTTAACATGATTGATATTTTTTTTTGTCCACAGCTTTACGATTAAGCGATCTAGTATTTTTATAAAACCACTGTCTTAGATTCTTAAGCCACGTTATCTTTTTTCTTCACGGGCCGCGTCTTCCTTCAATTCTTTCTTCTTCCTGCCTTAATAATAAGAGCAGCTCTCGGAAGCAACTCGCACCCGTATTTCATTAACATGTTTTCTCTTGCTTATTATCATATATTGTGTATTATTGCAATTTAATTTACATTTTCTTGTAATATCTTATAAATCGTTTAATAGTTTCTATAGTTCCTCTAAAGAATCGGCAATTAGCACTATGTCATCTGCATATCTGAAATTGTTAAAATATGCTCCATTACCCGTAACTCTGTCTATTACACCAAATAGAGCTTCATAAAATATGGTCTCCGAATAAATATCAAACAGCAAGATTGACAAAATGCATCCTTGGTGAACCCCGCATTTTATTTCTACTTCCTCTGTGAAGTTGTTGTCAACAAGTATATTTGCGCGCTGGTTCTAGTATAAATTTGCAATTATTCGAATATCACTTTCATCCAATTGATATTACCTCAGAATCTCTATTTGTTTTTCATGTTGAACTGTACCGAAGGCATTTTCAAAATCTATAAAACACAAAAATATGTCTTTGCTATAGTATCTACATCTTTCCACCAGGGCCCTAATTCCGTACAATTCTTCTCTTGTATCCAGTCTTTTCCAAAATTCAAATTGAGTGTCACTCATTCGCTCTTCCAACTTTTGATAAATTCTGCCGTGTATAATGCGAAGAAATATCTTTAATAAATGACACATCGCACTGATTGTTCTAAAATCTGCACAAAGTTTCGGAGCATGTTTCTTCGGAATCGTGACAAAAGTAGATTGGAGTCATTCGTTCGGTATCTGACTGATGTTATAAATTTTGTTTAAGAATTTCTTTAAAATTTGTATGCCATTACCCGGTAGCAATTTTTCCAATTCTGTTGATATTTAATCAGATTCTACTGCCTTACCTATTTATGCTCTACCAATTGCTTTTTTAACTTCATCTATAGTTATAGTTGGACCTCCGAATAAAGTTTGAATGTAATTTTTCCATAGGTTCATTTTATCATGACTTTTGGTTTTCGCACTCTTTCTTGTAAAACTCTTCTTTAGAACGGTACTGCATTAGGGAGTTTTAATTTATCGACCTTTAACGTTCATCCGACTACTACTTGTTGCGATCTCTGTAAAACTCTTTTGATGGTAAAAAATTGACCGAGCGAAGAACCGATAAAAATCACTTAACCAAGTTTTTCACCAATAAACCACAGAAGTTCTGCACAGATGGGATTATGAAGGTACCGAAAAAATGTCAAAAGGTCATAAATAATAATGGTCATTATAAACTTTTAAAATTAATTTTCAAAAAAGAAAACTTTTGTTCACAAAACCAAAATACATATGAACAACGCCTACCTAAATCGTCATAGCATCTTCATATACTTCTGTTTACTCCTAACCAGCAGCACACTTTATCGTGTATGAATTGAGTTATTTTTATATTTCACTTGCTTGCACTGGAGCACTAGAGCGACATGTGTGGCATCCTCTAACTTCAGTGATGATCATTTTGTCCCAATCCAGACATTTCGCCTGCCACCACATGCAGCGCTTATTTGTATTGATGTGTCTAATCTTTTGGAATTCATCATAAGTCAACATTAATTTCGGCATTTCTCCAGTGTAATTATAATCACGTGACTGAGCCCAACTAAGCTGAAGCACTATAAGATTATCTACTTGACTTTTAGCCAAAATATGACTTTACTACTTTATTACTATACACTCGCATAAAAATAAGTTTGAAACAATTACGACTATTTTTGTGCTTTTGACGTCATGTTCTTTTTGTTAATTTACTGGGTTTTATATTTATTGTACTTTTATTTTCTTCCTTTGTGCTGAATGTGTACGTGGTGCAGTTGTTGATGTTCCTTGGAAACGCCACAGGCATGCCATTGAAATTTAACTTTTATCATCGCAGTGGCATGGACAGCGGGGGACTGGAGATTAGGTCGTGTGCACGCGCACAGATAAGAGGAGAGCATTTCACTAATTTTTTAATGAAGCTATTCACTTGTGTAAAGTTACATAGTTTGGACTTGATTACAAAAGGATTTCACTGCAGAAAGGATTCCGAATAAAATTTGTGTACAAAAATTTCTTATTTCAAACTTAGCAAATCTATTACTTATTATTACGTGGAAAAACAATATATAAAAATTTTTTACATTTATTTTAGTTTAACTAAAGTAAAAATATAATTTATTACAACTTGAATTTTTTGGCAGATATTGCAGTTGAGTCCGCTTTCTTCTTAGCAGCTCTCTTCGTTGCAGCCGCCGTCGTAGTTTCTTGCAGTTTGCTGAAGAACGCCTTCGAAGATTTTAGTGCGGGTTGTTCATTGTCCATAGCCAACTGAAAAGAATTAAAACGTTGTTAATGAAGTTATATAAAATTTATTTCAAAAATTTAATAATAAAGAGGTTTTTTTTGAAAAGTTGTGAACTACAACAACAAAAATTTTTTTTATACTATTTTAATCAATTGAATTTTTGGCTGACGATAGAGGTGTTTCGAGTAACGCCAAATACCCATCATCAGTGGTCTTGAAACAATTTACGCTTACTAATTATTAGTTTAATAGAAAAAAAACTTAAATAAAATGTTTCGATTCGACCCACTCTAAAAAAAAACGAATATAAAACTAACTAATTTAATTACCAAGAAATTACAAAACATTTACTCTTAATTATAATTTGAAAATTTGATTTGAATATTCAAAATCCTTAGCTTATTGGCATAATAGAAATGGGCAACGCAAATATGTTTCAGGTTCCAAGAACGGCCAGACCTATGTTCCGAAGCCACTTGTTCAGTTCGACGACCAAGTGCCGTTCGCCACACTCAAAAGAGAGTACACAAGGAAATCCCTGTGGAATAGAAAACTCGCACATGACCGAATACTAACTTCACTCAACAAACATTACGGTCGATCAAATCATCATTCATGACAGCTTAGTCTTAACTATCCTACATATCCCTTTTTTTACACCTATTTCACATCTTCATAACTTTATTTTCCTCATCCCAACCCATTTGGCAAGTTTTATTATCCTCAGCGTCAACAACATCAATAAAAATAAAAATAGCAACAATAACCACAAATGCTGGACGTCATCTGTCAGCGGAAAAGTCTTACTAAGAAGAAAAAGTATAGAACACATACTAAGCAATACAAAATAATCCTGAAATGCTATCATTTCCCTTTCGCATAACAGAATTAAGTTAATTACATTTTCTGAAGTTCCTCGTCTTTGAGAAAATGGAATATAAAGAGGAATCAAGTTTAATTTGACTTTAAGTAGAAGCTGTATGCTACTTCTATCATCCTTGATTTCAAGCTAACATACTGATATTACAGGTAATCAATTATCAGTTCATCTTATCTTCTCTTGTTGTTGTTATCTTTATTGTAACCCGCTGCGATTTGTCAAGTAGCTAACATGAAATGATTTAAAAAGACGGCGCATGGATTAAGATGTAGAGCGGTCCAGAGCGGCTGCATTTACACCCAGAAGACTTTCATATTATTCGATGACCAAGTGCTGTTTAAAACTGACAATTCGGACAACTTCAGCAGGTACGTTTATTCCTTTTTTACCATTCCATTAATCCATTTACCATATAATATGATTCATCTATGTATACGTAACGTGTATACTGTGTTCCCTTCTTCAGTCGTTATTTCCAACCTCGTTTAATCACGCTTGTTCACTAAATTCATTTCCAAGTTTCGTGCAGCGTCTGTTTATTAGCTTAATGCAGTGTTATTGATTATAAAAACCACCACAATTTGAGGCGAGATTTAAAGGAATGTCTATATCTATTTCCAAAAATGCGGATTATTTTCAAGAAAATACATCCAAAGATCTGTTATTTTTTTTCTATTTCAAACAAAAAATCCTTGTGCTACTCAAAATAGTGTTGGACAGAGTCTATAGTTATTTTACGTAATTACCCTAAGTAAAAACTTACACCACGGTGTTTTTTACATATCAGTATAATGGTAGGATTGAAGTTTTAAAGAATTTGGCCGATACGAATTCAAGCTATACGTTTGGACATAGTTTTCCTGTTGGTGAGAGGCGAGGCCTATCTGGCACATCTACTGTGTTTTAGATTAGAGTATCCGATTGGAGAATATAACTAAACTTCAAATGAAAGTAAATGAATACAGTCATTCTAATTATGAATATTTGGGTTTTAATCACAGGTACAACAATACTCCTTTTAAGGAGACAACCTCTATTGGTCAAGGCAGCTGAATTTGCGTGCCTTATCCCTTTGTATCGGATTTACCTCTTCGATCACGTGTCGCAAGTAAAACTCACTTACTACCAATCATATCGCAAATAGTACCGAGTGGTGCCTAATGGATTTTCGTTGCCACATACGACAGGCATGCCATAACTCAAGAATATTTTAACCCCTATTCCGAAGGGAGAACAATGATGAAGAAGATATAAATCAACTGTATTGGATTTAGAAATAAAGTGGCCTCACTAGGAGACAAGTTGCATTAATAGCGTCTTCAATGGTATAGCTAATAAATAAAAAAGTAAAAGACAGACCCAGGCAAGCCACTGAAAACCTGGAGAAACACTATTAAAAGCGAAATACGATCTTGGTACATAAACAATGAGACAACCTACGACCATGTGACCGGTGAAAATATCTAAACCAAATTAAGAATAGGAAGTACTCTCGTATATTCTTGAGAACAAAAAAATTCGTAATCAAAAATTTTTAATGATGTTAGATTGTCGATGTTATTTCAGTTATTATTATACCAAGAGATTAAACCTATAAGTACTTAGAAGCCTCCAATATAAACTATTTGTAAAGACTTAAGGCAATTCTAAAAGCTTAAAAAATAATACAAACAGTTCATTTGAATGAAAAACTAACCTGCATATTTATCGATCTTAACAGATCTGCACTCATATCAACTTCATAACTAAACACACACTTGTTAACTTCCACCCGTCAGAGATAATATTTAAGGATTTAAAATCTACATTTTGTGTGAAATATAGATTAAAACATCTGATTGCCTTAACTGCGCAAACTATATGAGTACCAGACAAGGAGGTCCAGTTTGGTTAATATTGAATCAAATGAGATTCGAGATCTGGTTATTGTTACGTTTATGAATGAGAGTCTATATTCAAAGATCTAATCACATTTAACTAACAACAACATATTATCTATTATTAGGTGTTGTTAATATTTAATGATCCTTTTACGACTTTTAAAAAAAATTATTTAAATATTGATTTGTGACTTACCTTCTTTACGTTCCTATGTTTGGTTATAGTCTTAAGTATCTTTGCATTTTCTTCCTTTTTCGACAACGGTATACCCAGTTTTTGACGTTGTATATCTTTCTTCTCCAACACTTTGTTAATGGCACGCTGCTTTTGCTTTTTCTTACGTCGTTCACGATTTTTATCCGTACGCGTACGTTCTGATTTACCCAGCAATTCATGCTTGGGACCACGATATACTTCCTCTGGCGCAAGAAGTTTAGCGTCAGTAACAGTAACTGGCGCAACCTCTTCCATATTAATGGCAGGTGTATTTGTAATAATTTTAGCTTCTGGTGCCACAGGTTTCGGTGTAAAGTAGAAATTCGACAAAGCATCCAATTGCAAAAATAATTTACGCATACGTTCCTTAATATCTTTATGCTCTTTAGGTTCTTCTTCAACAGTATCGTCACGATTCGGGTCCAATTTATCAATTTCCTTTTGATATTCTTTTTCATAAATTTGTGCCAGTGATTCTTTTGATTTTTCCTGATCAAGTACCAATAATTTACGATAATCTTGTACTGTATGTGTAGGTCGTACAATTGGTACTACATCATCCCATGCTTGATCTTTAATACGTTGACGAATGATGTCTTCTAAACGTTTTGTTGTCGTTTCTGTTATTACAGGAGCCGGCCGTGAAGTTGATTCGAATTCTAATATCTCCTCAAGCAGCGAATTTTGTGGACGATTTGTAGCTTGAACTTCTCCTTTCATTTGCCATGGTTTTTCACCGAGTATTTCTGACTCATAATTTTGTATTAGTTGATTAAGACGTTCTTGACGCTGTTCATATGACGATTTAGTTTTCTCATCCATTTCATCTACCTGATCAGAATCAGAATCTGTACCTGTATCTGAAGCAGGCGCAATCGGTTTACCTTTTTGGTTTAATTTTTTACTTAAAGCAGCCTCTTCGACATCAGAATCTTCTATATCCTCATTTTCTTTATAATCATCATCAGCGTTATCAAAAGCATTATGTTCTTCAGCTTCATCTACATCATCTTCATCTTCCTCATCGACATCTTCACCATGATCATCATTTTCATCTTCCGGGTGAAAATTATTTTTATCATTATTCTGACTTTTATGTACAACTTTTTCCTTATCTTTAATATTTTCTGCTGCTGCGTCTTCATCTTCATCAAAAAAGTCTTTATAATTCATATGATCATTTTCACTGTCATCATCGGCATCATCTTCACCCAGATCTTCTGCAAAATAATCGATTCCATCATTATCGTCAATTTTGGGTTTGTTTTTTTGCTTTCGAACTTCTTTAGCATCTTCTGCATCCAAAAAATCAGCCATTTCGTCCAATTTAAAGAATTTATCATCTACAACAGATGGTCGAATTTTTTTCTTTTTGGTTTTGTTTTTAAATAATGTAGATTGTTTAGAACCGAACTCTTCTCCATCATCGTCATCGTCCTCATCATCGTCACCACCATCTCTGTCATTATCATACAAATTTTTTAACTCATTATTGTCTTCTTCATCAGTAACTTCATTCTCATCTTCATCATCAATGTCGTCGTTCTCAGTGTTATCATCATTTTCAGAGCCAACATCACTATCACCTTCATCTAATCTTATTTCCAATTTTGTTTCTTGCAATGCAAAAAGTTTTGCTGTTTGCTCTAAGAATGTCGACATAACAAATTCGTTTCTTAGTTCCAGCTGCTGCCATATTTGTTCTTCTTCCATGCCATCGACATATAGTTCTGAAAGTACTTCTACTCTTGCCGCCTTATTGCTAGAGTCTTCAATAGCCGCCAAACGATAGGTATTTTGCAGCAAATTTTGTATGTCATCATATTTCTCTGGTCGCGCACTAAAAAAATTTTAAGATTTAATTCATGTTTCAAACCAAAACAAAAAAAAAGCCAGCTACGAGCAACACGTGCGCCTAATCATTTAATTTACATACCTTAAGAATTTTTCCGGTTTCTTTGTAATATTTGTAAATTTTGTAGCAATTTTATTATAGTCTTTATCGTTTGTGAAATTCGCCATGGCTGGTGCCATATTTGTAACTATTTTTTACTATTTCTTTAAAACTCCCAGCTATAACAAATTCTGCCAAAAAAAAAACACGCGATAATGTAAACAATTCTGTATTGTGACAGGTGTGAAACTCCATGTTACTGACACTGTCAAATAAAATATGTATCAACGTAAAAAATTAATCAAAAAAGAGAATAAATTTGAATTCAGTAATTAAAGACTTCTAATTTGTTTAAATAATGCACATAAAGCATTTTTTTATATTAAAAAAGAATCTCACATTTGAATGAAGTACTAAAATAATTGATAGTTGGAGTTTCGCATCAGTATACTCTTTTGACATTAGGTAAAATTTTAATCAAAAACATTCGGAATAAAGTTGCCATTCTTATGAAGAATTCTTTGACTTTAATAATTGACCATGACAGATTGTAATTTTAGGTGCTTTCGGCGGTTCGCAGGTTTGGCAAAAAAACAGCAAGTCTATAGGCGCTAAGCGAAGCATTGACATCACTATTGCAATCTGCCAAACATGTTTCCCTAAAGAACAAATCTTACATATGTGCACATAATGCAAGCATATTACATTTTGTATAAAATATATAATAAAACTAAAACTTAAAATTAAAATGATTAATGAACTAAAAGTGAAATAAATGCAGGAATTTTGAAATCTTCTTTAACAACAATATGAATTCAGAATATTAATACAACTAATTAGTTAAAAAATTTAGTGTTTTTAATTGTACTTTCTTTATGTACACAATTTTCAAATTTGTGAAACTTTTTGATTTGATATGAATTTAGGCTTACAAATTTTGACAGATGAGTGGAATATTCGTTGAAATTTCCAATGAAAATTTACAATAGATTGCTTATTGCTTTTTTTCTGCAATCACTGAAATATTTAACCACTTCACAACTAGACGCTTAGACAGAGAAAGTAGTGTTGTTGTTTTGCGTACAAATTTAATAACTTTAAACAAGCAACTTCCTGCTTTTTGCCATACTTAAAAGTTGCCGAAAACTCTTATTGTTGCAACATAATATAATTTCCTTTGAATATTAACTTAACCGATTTTTTGATAGTTTTTATAAAAAAAATATATAGAAGTGAATAATTTAATTATTCTTGTAATTTGATTTAAACGTCAATGATTTTCATTGTGCTGAAGAAAAATTTCAACTTTTTTAATTGATTTTTACCATTCTAATAAAAATTTACATAATTTGTTTTGTTGTGCAAAAAGTATTCACTTTAAAAGTTAAATATAACTGAAAAATGTATATTCAATGACAGGTAATATTAGTTTTTTAAGATTTTCTTTTAACTTTAGATGCAACATTGTGCAAAAAATTTTAATATATCATTAATTATCTTTAATTTTATCAACAACTACTATATGTTTTATGTATTTAAATAATTGGTTAGATGCCAGTCAATTGATTATTTATCTATGAATTTTTGACTGTTTATTTTAATTTAAGTGATTATTTGCATCACTGTAATAGTACATTCACACTGGTTCATTTAAGGACTTACGCATTTATATTAATAAGTGAGCTAATTTATGCAGCTAATAAAACTTTTATATCTTACGAATTTCATTTAATAATATATCGCACTAAAAATTAAAAATCATTTACATACATTTTATATATCCATTTAAATCAATAAAGATTTTATTATATACTTACTTTCTCAGTGCTCTTGTTTACACCTCAGCTTTTGTTTGTTTACTTTTTACATATGACCCTTTTTTACATTTTGGTGTTTTCTCTTGTGAATAACTTATTTGTAAGGGTTGCATTCGTAATTTTTCACCTTAAATGAGCTGATTTATCAATAATGAGCACATTTATATGAATGATTTTTGTGTGGTATGTCATCCTCACTTGTGGCTACAAGGCAGTGTGATAATGACACAGTATAAATGTACTATTAGAATTGGTGATAAGCTTTGTGCAGCAACTGTCAGCAATTTTAATAGCACTTCGACCATGGTACCTGTAATGGTACCTGCAAAACTTCGTTCGTTCGCAATCGTTTACTTTGGTGTGGATGCACCTTTATACTCTTCATATTGATATTTAAGACTGTACCAAAAAAAAATATTAAGTTTCTCGTAGTCATAAAATTTACAATATATATTCGGAATTCTTCTGATGAAGGCAAAATTGAATTTGTTGAAATGCGTATAGAAATATACAAAAAATACTATCGAGATAAAAGCGAAAATCCTAAGAAACAAAACCGACTTTAACATATATATGATATTTAATGTCTGTCCGTCCCTTCATTTAAAAAAACTAATGCAAATGTCATTTATTTGGACTTTAATTTTTTTTTTTAATTTTGCATTTGAAGATAATCGAGTTTTTAATGTATGGATATACCGATCAGGAAAAAATAAATATTCGTTAATGTCAATTCTCAAACTTGACATATGCTTAACTTGACTTGTAATAAAGTTTCAGTGTTAAATAAAGACATTTATACTGCGTATATTTTACTTAAAACGAATTTTTAAGTATATGAACATGTAAATAAAACTAATATATATTGCATTATAATTTTATGAACTGTGTCATATCTCCCTCATCCGTATCAATTTTATCATCGGTTATTCCATTATGTATGTGAATGTTAAGTGGCAACGCCAATGTTCTATTTTATCAGTTATTATTTTTGACATGAGCGCTGGTCTCTCTGCATATGGCTTGTCATTGACAGCTGCTGTCATTGGTCTTTGTCGTTTTGTTTATCGGAAAATTTTATTAACATTATTATAGACAAATTTATGAAATAAATTGTGCATAATGAAAATGCAAATGAAAGTGTTGTTATTATTTATTGGTGGAGGCATACTGCGTTATCTATTTTCTACCTCACGCATTGCAAAACCATTTATTGAGCGTAACGAAATTTCAACGCCTCTAAATGCATTTAAAAGAGGTAATTAAATTATTAAATATCAGTTAATTTGCAGTTAACTTTCATTATTTTGTATTACAGTACAAGAAGGAATTTACTTGCATAAGAATGGAATTGATCCATATACGGGCGATATAGTGCATGAAACGCCGGTCGTTTTATTGGCGCTAGGGAATATAGTCACAAAAGCACCTGAATTGGTGCCACTTCTATACATATTTTTAGATTTATTTACTGCATTTATACTGTATAATGCAAGTAAAAATTATATACGCAAAAAATATTTGGAGCAATTAGAGGAGGAAAGTAAATATGCTCCAGACGCTGATGAATTGAAGCTGCATTTGCAGGATGAAGAGTTAATACCGTTTTACGTTTTACTTGCTTATCTATTCAATCCAATGTCCGTGCTGAGCTGTAGTGCGTTGACATCAGCTGTATTTAGTAACTTACTATTGGCGTTGACATTGTGGTGTTTGAACAAGCATTTATTTTTGCCTTGCTTAGTTTTACTGTCTTTGGAAACAATGCGTAATTTATATCCAATAGTGCTGCTGTCACCGATTATAATGGTATTTGCTAACCGCTCGAAATACAAGGCGATTGGTATTGTTCTACTTTTCGGCATTTTCTTTTTTGGTGTTATGTTACTGAATTATAGTATAATGAAGAGTTGGAACTTTCTTGATGGTACACTCGGCTTTATGTAAGTACTGATAAATTGAAATTATTTTTTTAAATAACTTAAAAGCTTTTGTTTTTATCGCAGTTTCTTCTATCGTGATCTACAACCTAATATCGGACTTTTCTGGTATTTCTTCACAGAAATGTTTGAGCATTTTCGTATTATGTTCCTCATTACATTCCAAATGAATGCTACCGTACTTTATTTGATTCCACTTACAATGAAAATGCGAAAAGAACCCTTTCTGCTAGCAACTATTTTAATTGCGCTAATTTCTATATTTCGTTCATATCCATGCCTTGGTGATGTGGGTTTATATTTAGCGCTGTTACCACTCTGGCGAACTTGTTGGAAGTGTAAGTACAGATTTCTTTTTTAAACATCAATTAAAATATAATTTTTTTCCTGAACCAATGTCCTAGCAGTTAGTTCTTATAAATAAATTTTTTATTTAATTTTAAATTATTTATAGTTTTTTTTTTATTTTCATTTTAACTTTTCATGTTTATTTTGAAAAAGTAAAATTCTTTTTAAACATTTAAACTTATATATTAACATTGCAATATAAATAATTGTGTGTTGTTTTTTAGTTATGGCCCATAAGTTTTTAGTGTTTTGTATGGTGTTGGTCACATTGAGTTTGTTGCCGGCGCTTTGGTATTTGTGGATACACGCCGGGTCCGCAAATGCAAACTTCTATTTTGGCGTTACCTTGGCCTTATCGTCTGGTCAGGTAAGTTTAAATGTTTTTTGTATGCTAAATTTAAGAGAAATTAATTTTGTTTCTCGTTTCTTTTTTTTTTTAAAGATTTTCCTAATAACCGATTTGCTCTTCGCTTATGTGAAACGGCAATTTTGTTTATACAACGGTCAGGATGTGTACATAGACGGAGTTGAGGCAAATATCAAATTAGAATAGAATTAGTTTAGTATGTTTTTATACTCACTTCTAAATAGCATATATAAATTATTTTATATTGTTTCAAAATGGAAATGTGGAAATGTTTTAGTATTATATTGTACGTTACAAGACTTGCGTGATTGTTCCGTGTCATAATGCATATTTGTTTTAGTAAATATTTTAAATAAAACAAATTGTAATTTTTGTATGAAAAAATGTTAGTTTTACTGCACATAATCTGTAAGCATAACAAAAACAAAAAGTAAGATAAGATATTAAAAATAAAAATTGTTTATCTATAAATAATCATTTTAAAAATGTTAGCAAAATAATGTAAAATAATTATTACGAAATTATTTCGAAGTCTTTGGTAATTCAAATAGGAAAACTTATCAGTAAATACAGAAGTAGTTCGATATTTAAAATGTATATCAATTATCATTGCTAGAGTATCCAACAAATATTTATTATAACTGTTAGTACTGTAAAAATATATACTGCATATAGGTCTATGTAAGAAGTTTAAAAAGTGCTTTAGAGTTAGGCTTAGTGTTACACTGTTGTTATTTTTCCTAAATTGAACTATTTAAACTATCAAAAAACTATTTATGTGATAAGTATTTAGATGAATAAATTTGTTGATATATCTGTGCGGAATGTTGTATCAGATGATTAGTTGTGTATGCAAAATTAACGTTATAGTAATACGAGTATTGTGCTACAGCAATAGATTTACTAGTCTTACGCTCAATTGTTGATCAACTGAGTGATGTGCGCTGGTCGTTTGGTGAGGTAACAAGTGTTATATAAAATTAGACCTATAGTCAAAGCAGGTATTATTTATGGTATCGACCATAATTTGCTCAAAGTGGTACTGGCTGTTGGGTGATTGTAACCCACCTGTAAAAGATCAGCAATAGTTTAAATAATATACGAAGATCGATTGAGTGTCAGAATTGTGGCAGGAATATTTTTTAGCTGAAATTGGCTTCAGATAAACAAAATATTTCGTTAAAAAAGAAGCTCCCACTTGTTGTTTGTTGTAATGTGATGGTAACTGCTAGTTTTGCTCATGTTGGGGGTGATGAGCGAAAGTTTATCGCCACTTTAGACGATTATCTCCGGGACCTACGGTCCGGCCACATTCAAAACAAGTTGGACTTAGTCCTTCACGAGTTGTCCCATTGCAGTGGTTAGGTTTCTCTACCTAAACCCAGGCTAATATAAACCGCATTGATTCGTAATATGTTCTTGATCCATTTTCTTTCACATTTCTTTAAATTAACCATATCCTAAAACATGTATTTGTACTTGTTATTTCTTCGATGTTATTTGCAATATAGATCCACTCAGGATACAACAACAACAACATTAGCTACTCATCAAGTGTAGTATGTAATAATTAAAATGAAGCCTTGTTTGTGTCAGGATATTTAAGATTGTATGACTTCTACTCATCGTTCTCTTTCTGCATGAAAAGACGTTTAGAATATAGAATCATGGTTTTATAACGGCAGAAGTTTTGAATTCAATGTAGGGCTGTAAAATAGTTTGGGTCATATGGATTACAGGTGCTGAAATTTGGTTTTTGTTTGCATGTTACAATAGTAAGAAGTCCTTGGACGTTGGAACTAAATTTTAAACAAATTTTCGTATACTGACATTCAGTCTATATACGAACCAAAGCTATTCCTGTGGCACCACAATGAGCTATTATTTGAGCTCAAGAGGACTTTCTTACCAAGCTACCTAGTATATAAGGATATCAGAAACATATTTTTTATGATATTTGTCAATTTAATTTTTCATAAAAATTTATACGAACATGTATTAATAAAAGAATTGGTAATTGTAAGCCTTAACATATAGAATCGAAAATTAGCGGGGTACTACCATCTAGAAAGAGGATGATTGATGACTATGAGTGTATTTTTGTCAGCTGATTATCGTAACTATAGACGAGAATAAGTGTTATGTTTTAGCAATCTACTCCTGGAACAAATCAAAGACAGACAATCACAGAGAATATGATTATTGGTCTAATCTGCCACTAAGCAGAGACAACATTCTTTCTCTTGTAATTATGATAATGCAAACTATCATGATCTGTTAGATTACTCATCAAAAAAGTCTTCTGCTAAACTTGCAATGTTGGTTTGACACTGAAATGACATATGTTTGAATTTCAAGTATTTCTTCAAAAAATTGTCTGGTTCGAGAATTGTTATTTACTCTGATAGCCAGGCTGCTTTTAAATTCTATCTTCGTGAACTTTCAAGTCGAAACAGGTTCTTGAGTGTTATGAGCTTCTACAGTTACTTGAAGTTCGGAATATGTTAAGCCTTTATTTGGTTCTAGACCACAGAGAAGTTGTCGCAAATGAACAAGCTGATGGGGCAGCCAGAACTGCATCAAAAACTGCTTTTGCAGCCCCTCAACCTTTTGTGAGTTAAACTGGGCCAGTACAAAAAAAACAATCAAGGAGAAGGAAAATTATATGCGGCTGGTGTACTGGGAAGATTTCCCAAGACTTAGACAAAGCAAAGCACTGATAAAACCGTACTCATTTCATTATAGGACATTATGGTCTGAAGTATCACCTCTATAAACAACGATTATCTGATAATTCAGAATACAGATTATGCCTCGAAGATAAGAAAACTAGTATGTATATTCTTTGTGACAGTTCAGCTTTAACAACACACAAAAGAAACTTATTTCATTAGAATTTCCGTCACTAAAACAGATTAAGAGCGTAGCCACTCGTCATCAACGACGACCAAGACTCATTCAACATCCCCCAATGGGACTCCACAAGCAGGTCCCGGCGGGTCACAACAACAACAACAAGAACTCTTTTCTAGATTAAGTTTGGGACTTTAAAGGGCTTTGTGTATTCAATAGTGCAAAATGGTACAATAGGACTCTTCTGGCCGTAGTACTGGCTGTTGGGTGATTTCACGTTAAAAACTTTAATAATAAATAATAATAATTTTACTTTTTTGTTTATTTATTTCATTCATAATAATACACATTAACGTCTTAAATATTAATTTTAATTATATAGTTTTTTTTCTCGTCATTTATATTATTCATACTTATTTTATTAGCAATATTGAATATTATTGTAAATGTAAATATATATGTAAATTTACAAAAAAAAAAGGAATTACAATTATAAAGAAAAAATTATACAAATTTTTTATAATAAATTTTATGAAATATTATTAAAAATTTTCATTAATTACATTGTAAATTTTCTTCAGCACACGATCATGAAATTTCATTATTACATTATATTTCATGGCTTCGTATGATTTTGTACATTAAATATTCTTATGTCGCGTGAGTGTGGATGATGTCGTTCGGGTGTAATCAATGTACGAGTACATATTGGATAAACTCATCGAAAGGATCATTTTCGATGAATGGGTCCACTTTAAATGCGATACTTCATTAGTGCTTAATTTAATGAATTTTTTTACATACAATGCATTTCGATTTTCGATTCAAATTTTAAAACCTTCATTTCTGTTTATATTAATTTACAATAACAATATTTTTTCATTCATAAAAGTTATGAACTAATAATGAACGCTAATGAACGGTAATGAACAATATGTTTTAGGACAAATTTTTATTGAAATATTATTGATATATCTTTTTCATAATTTTATCTTTATTGTGGAATTTTGCACATACCTACATTTATTTTTATTAATTTGTTTATAATTATTCGATGATTTTGTATTTTAAAGAGTTTATGATTTTGTTATAACACATTTTTTTTCTATATATAACTATGCATATTAACAGTACGTTTTCATAATGATTAAGCGTTTCAACTACAATTATTTAAAACTTTTAATAATGTTGGGCTAAAATCAACTAGTTAATACATCGATTAGTTTCTTTGTACATAGAGAGCCTCGAATAAAAATCAATTATGAATTGCATCTAGAATTATGTTAGTTACTAAAAATTATGATATGATGAGGTTATAAATGTTGAGTATATAGTGAAAGCTCTCTTAAAAGAGCCGACTCGATCAGCTATTCTGTCCGGTCAAGGAAATGTTAATTTAAAATCGCGACCATTTTTTAGAAAATTACAACTAGGAATACTAGGGGGTATCACACAGTTTATGAGACTGTCCATTTAACAGAGTTTTCACTGTATTATAAATTCATACGGCCTTATTTATAATATTGTATAGACTTTGGTAGACAAAATAATATACGAAAAAATACTCTTGATATTTTTTTTTTAATTATTTATAATAATAATTTGGTTTTTTATGGACAAATTGATTAATAGTTACATAATAAACTTTTTAAAAACATTTTTATTTATTATTTATTTTAACCGATATTTCGACTATAATCTGTAGTCATCATACCCTAATGATGTCACCATACCCTGATGATCTCATCATATCCTGACGATGTCATCATACCCTGATGATGTCATCATACCCTGATGATGTCATCATACCCTGATGATGTCATCATACCCTGATGATGTCATCATACCCTGATGATGTCATCATACCCTGATGATGTCATCATACCCTGATGATGTCATCATACCCTGATGATGTCATCATACCCTGATGATGTCATCATACCCTGATGATGTCATCATACCCTAATGATAGATGTCATCATACCCTGATGATGTCATCATACCCTAATGATGATGTCATCATACCCTGATGATGTCATCATACCCTGATGATGTCATCATACCCTGATGATGTCATCATACCCTGATGATGTCATCATACCCTGATGATGTCATCATACCCTGATGATGTCATCATACCCTGATGATGTCATCATACCCTGATGATGTCATCATACCCTGATGATGTCATCATACCCTGATGATGTCATCATACACTGATGATGATTATAGATTATAGTCGAAATATTGGTTAAAATAAAATCTTTTAAAAACAAATAAAAAAAAAATAAATTATTTAATTATTTATTAAATGTCACTGACGCTTTAAAGTTCTATGGTTTCTTCTCAGGGTAGGGTAGGTCTATGGCTCTTAAGGTAGAAAAATCTTCAAAATCTCTGCCAAATTTAATCAAAATAAAATAAAAAAAAATATTAAGAATTATAATTTCATGTTCTTAACAGCATTTATACATTTTGTCCACCCACATCAATAGAATTTATTAGTATAATAATTCCAAACTTTCTAAAGAGTT